TATAGAGGTTAGGTTAGGGTAGATAGGGGTTGGGTTTAAGGTAGCTAGGTGTTGGGGTCAGGTAGCAGAAAAACAAACTACTATCATTTATTAGTCATATGATCGCCAAAAGTACACCAAGAGCTTAATCACTGACATCTGTTGTGTAACTTTGTGGGCATTTTTCAGAGATTTGTACTTATTGCTAAATTCAAAACTACGCAAAACTCCACATAGCTAAATGATGGAGAGCAGTTTCGGACATATGCAATGATTGGTACACGTATTGAAAACTCCCTGGAATTTATAAGAAAGAGTCAGGTGTACGTCACCCTTTAATACGTATATCGTTAGTAGATGTGAGATTTATGACGTAAAGGCCCCGGATGGATGTAATAATCACTTCACACCATTCTACAACCCACATGTATTCTTCTTCTATTAGTGTTTAACGTCCGCTTCCAGGGATAAGTTGTCTTATTTTATTATGCTTCGCACACGCGCAGGGGTATTTCCTGTGGGAGGAAACCGGAGTGCCCGGAGTAAACCCATGATGCTGAGAAGGCGCCCTTAACTCCAAGCCACATACGCACACACAAGAATGGAAACCACTACTGCTGGCCAGGTTACTGGTTAACTCACTAGTCTGGGTATAGACGATTCATGGGATATGATAAGAGTAAGTGAGGCAGTGGCAGTTTTAGGATGTAAACACTTCCAGATTCGAATTTTGCTAATTGGTCGAAATTTGGTGTCGAATAAGTATAACAGTTCTCTAAATTTCATGGCACAACTCACTAGGAATGAATTTTTCCCAGGAACAAAATGTATTCGTAGTGGCAAACAATTCTACACCCCAAAACGTTATTCCAGGAAATTGCCGGGCAATATTGATTGTATGTCATCCACAATGAAATTCAAGCATTGGCATATTGAAACACAGACCAAAACAAAATTACTGAGTATATTTAAAAGATAAATAAGGCAATATCAATGCCAGGAGATGACCAGGACCCATGTGTCGTTGGACTAGACATAGCGCCCTCTTCTGTTTTGATTTTGTTTGAACTTTAAATTGTTTGAAATCGTAATTATCTTTATGAATATTTTAATGAATTAATCTAGTTTATTATTGATTCTGGGTATAACATTCAGTCAAATTGATTATAAATTGTGTAAATCAGGTCTAATGCAGTTATAAAGATAACTTGACAATTCATGTAGCAGCCTTATTTTATCAATCAGTGTGTATACCTCCTGGCAGGCTATACACTGTCGTTAACTTTTAAAGGCGATTTCACGTATACTTTTATGAAAAAAAGTTTAGAAATGACATCGATTTTAGAGAATTTTATCATTTTACATGAATCGATTTAGAAAGTGGATGGGTTATACGATCCAATAGATGATGAACTTCAGCCTGTTAAAAAGGAGGGAATTCATGCTACATGATGAAGTCGATATCCCAAGGATCACTTTTGCATTTGGGGCTATTATCCAACCAAAGGCTATAATTCCCATGGACGGATTGTCGTTTGAAATATCAGTTTATGCACGTGTTTTTTTTTTTTTTTTTTTTTTTTGATAAATATAGAATTGCGTCATATTTTTATGCGCATTTCTGTCGTCACGTGACCAGCTGTTTTTATGTGAGACGCTTCCACGACAACCATATCACCCAAACCACATCTTGTATTAAAACGGAAGTTATCTCGGAGACCAAAAGATAAGATTATGATCCGAACAAGGCAAGTTCTGTGATTTCATAATGAAGATAAAAATAGTCTAGACGAGATTCATTGTACTCAAATTTTATCGTTCTTCCTAACACTGCTACATTCAATAGATTTCACCAATTATTATATAAAACATTTTATTCTGCATATCATGGCGATTTATAATTAAACAGTAATCTAAAGGTTGCGTCTTGTTATTTCATAATTCTTGGTATTTTAATTGACGAGTCTGTATCGTGTAACATTAAAATTTCAAGAGAAACCGTAATGAAATTAGATACTTATAACAATATGTTTAGTTTCTAACATTAATCATGGTATTTCAATAGAATCCATTATGCTGGTAATAATCAATTAAGGCAAGACACGGTACATGTCTGTCTCATAAATACAATTATTTCAGTCGTTGCAAGTTGGGCTATTGTTTTCAAAAATATTTTAACCATTAATGAGTGCTAAAATAGTTTTAACAAGGCACATTCTGGAGTGCAAAATCGCAATTCGTTATATTTTTTTATAAAAAGACTCCCTTCAAAAAATGACAGACAAACAATGCCTGTTATCTGTATGGAAAATCGTGTACACAATTAATTGAAATGAAATGAGTTTAACGTAGTATGCGCCAACTGGGCACATGACGACGCCAATACGCCATGTATTGTGTTTTGACAATGGGGAAAATGTAGCCTTGGACGCGGAGCGGCGGTCGGATCTTTTTTTTTTTTTTTTGTTAAATTTCCCACTATATAGTGAATCTTTAACTTGCCGCCAATATTATGCACGGAATCTCTGTTTTTCCACACACCCGACTTCCTCCCTTGCTGGGCCCTGCACTACTGAAAAGGGGGAATGAGGTTTGAACATTCGAGGAATGGGTGTAGCACGTCCAAAGTACCCCTTATAGCGATTGGTGGCCTGGAATATCTTTTGTGTAGCACTGTTAGCTGGTTATCTTTAGGGGCTGTCTTGATGTATTAAAGGTGTCCATTGGCATTTTTTGGAGGGTAGAAATTTACATTGGTGGATTGTTAACTGAGTTAGTACCAATTACTAATATTATCTTACTAATCAAATGATGCAGCCATGTTGAGAGTTTAATGAGAGTGGTAAGAATTTTTTCTGCTCTTATTTGAATATCAACGCCAATGTTTGGAACTCGGCTTTTCGTCCCACCCAACACTTTCTTTATAAACCCCGCCACTCCTCAATGGACAGACGGACATGGGTGACAGTAACATATTACCAAGGGCTCATGCTGTCTGTCGCCCAAGACGCGATATTGATTCTGACACCGTGAAAAGTATGGTGTTCTATTTAAGCCACTTCCCGCGTGGCGCGTCATTTTTTTCAATGCCAACAGTTATAATGTGGACGTATTATTGCCGTCGACCCTGTCTTTGTGGGTGTGTGTCTGTGTATCGCCTCGAGGCCGCGAATTTTAACTGATCGTCTTGAAACTTTACATACTTATTCCTTATACCTTTCGTTCGGATGGGACGAAAAACCGAGGTCCTGTGTACACATTGGCGTGCACGTAAAAGATCCCTTGACAATTGGAATTCGATATAAGAGTAGGCCGCGTAGTGCCGCTGTCCGGACACAATTTCCCTCATAGCACACTGTATGGCGTTTGCCCGTCTTCATTAGACCGGTTCGGAGCAGAACAGTAGGACGTTAAACCCCATTTCATTCCCTTATACCCTAAGGATGATCCCAGGGAGAGCCACGCCCATTTCTTGCATTTGTTTGTTTGTCGTCTACAGGCCGCATTTATTAACGTGTCATCTTGAAATTTTGCATATTTATTCCTTATACCCCAAAGAACACCTCGGGACAGAGCCACGCCCAATTTTCTTTGGCGTGTCTGTGTGTCGCCTACAAGCTGCAATTCTTAATCCACTGTCTTGAAAACTTTTCATACTTATTCCTTATGCCCTAAGGATCACCAATATTGTTTTTAGTGCATGCCCAACCCCCAGGGGCAGAGCCACACCCATTTTCTTTTTGTGCATCTGTGTGTCGCTTACAGACCACAATTCTTAATCGATCATCTTGAAAACTTTTCAAACTTATTCCTTATACCCTAAGGATGACCTTAATTATTTTTGGTGCATGTCCGACCCTCTGGGACAGGGCTACTGTTTTAAATAATTGTTTTCAAATGTGGTTTGAAGCATTGGGGTCTGCCACTAAAAAGTAGTTAACGCGACATTGTTAACGGAATTCTTTCATATTATATGGGGCGAAGATTTGCCCACCTGCTCCCGCAACGTCTGTGACAATTTTTAAAAGGTATGTTATCAAAGTTTGTGTCAGGAATTATGACTGTTAAAAGATTGACCCTATTGAAGCATTGTAATCGGATAGGATGAACCATGATGACTTTCAACAATCAAAGATTTTCTTTTACAGATATTTGTTTTTGTCCGGAAAAGCCTGCAAACACAATCAAGATAAAATTTCTTGAAGAATCCTAGATTCTTATTAAATATGGTCAACGTCCATGTTTTCCTTTCAGACAACTGCTGTGGATAAACCGCTGTGGAGTATAAGGCATAACCCTATCAAAATTCGGTGCAGAACCTGATTGAAACTCAGAATTGCCAATCAATTATATATAATTGTTGATCCTGGTCCCGGAAGATTAAAAGCCACCCTTCAAACTGCTGTTAGTGGGGTTTATTGGTCTCATAAAAATGTACATATTCTTGCACAAATGGCCAATGTCTCGATGAAGTTGCTATATCAACTGAAGTAGTAAATGCCGTGTTGAGCGTAGCTACTCGTAACATTTTCAAGAAAATGATCCCCGCCCACCCTCACCAAAAAATAAACAAACAAACCGTTAAATTCCCTTAAGTTTCGGAATTATGAAACGAACAGGATACAGTTTCAACCCAACAAATCACTGCTCCCAAAATCCAATCGTTGTAGATGAAGTAACTCAAAACGACGTCGGCATCGTATTACTATCGAAAATGCAGGTTTTTGAACTAAGTTATTGCCGGATTTTCATTTGCCAACAAGATCAATGCTAAGGACAAACGTCGGGTATCATCTACTTAGGGAATTCGTTGAGATATGGCGTGATGGTAATAGAACTCCTGGCAATATTCTATCACCTGGCATTGCACAAATAACTATAGAAAGCTACACCACGTTTGTCCAAAAATTACTAAAGTATTGTGTTGACGTGATCCATTCCGTTCTATGGACTGAAATGGCACAGGGGCATTACTTAAGCCGAAAAAAAAATGTATATGTAATATATTTATTTCTGTGACATTAAATCTTTGAATATAACTTCACTATAATGTTAATACGGATATATTAAGGTGTACTCTGTATTCTGTGCCCTTTCACCACTTTCATTCAAAAGACACACGTGATTGACGTCATCATAAGTATAGCCAACACAAAGATATGACTGTAGACACAGAGCACCGCAGTAAATATCACTGCTACCTGATTTTATACTCAACGTTTTATTGGCTACTGCTTCATTTCCAGGTAATATTTGGAAATTTGCAATATATGCTGAAAATAAAGAAAAAAGATAACACCCATTAAACATACATTATGCAAGAGCTAAATCTGTCTATTGCAGGTCTTTCTTTAGGCCTGAAATGTTATCTAAATTATTAATTAGACATTAATTAACTTATCCAGACCATAATCAACTCTAGATGGCATTGCTAGCCTGTGATCTTAAGTGGATTGTGAGCCGATTTACTGCACAACTTTCCTTCTCGATTAAACGATTAAATAGATAATCGAGACTATGCTGTTTATCGTACTGACTTTAGTAATGATGACCGAGGCTAGGCAGAAATTTCATTCGCTTAGTTTTCGGTTCATAGTGGATCAATTTGAATGAAATTTTCAGCAAATTGCCTTTACGTTATCTAGTTTTTACCTATTATAGTGAGAACTACCAACTCGTTATAGAATCTCCCATAATGTATCTTTAATCCAGTTGGTAAAACACATAGGTTTGAGATCTTGTAACCTTGCACATGTCTTGGATCCACACTAGGCCAAATCGGCCACCCAATAAGGTAAATTGCGATCCGTTTATATAATTGGTTGGCATTTTAATCTCTTTCTTTGGGGTGGGGTGGGGGAAAGGTATGGCAGTTTCACTGATTGGCTATAATATTGGGAGAACAGTGTGGAATAACGATAATTAGTTATAGTCCATGAACTATCAAATGTTTAATTAACATACAAAGGGTTTGATGTCCACCACCCACCCAACCCAATTCTACTCTTCATTCATGCTTTTGGGAACACCGCCAGGGGGCATTGTGAACTTTGGCCTACCCAGAAGTGAGGTAGTCCTCACAATTGACCACTCAGAAGGACCTATGTTATCATTGTTAATAGTTAAATATGGATGATTACTTACGTTGACACAATGGTGTAACTGATCCGCTTACATTTTGCCAGGAACCGTCAGCACTACATTCATACCTTCCAACATCACCTGATACTTTGATTGTACCTGATTGACAGGTGTATGTTACTTCATTAGAGAACCAACCTTCACTAAGGGAAGGAGTGGCATATAATACCCTAGGAGGGCTTCCACAGTACGTATCTAGAAGAGAAGAAAGTCTGTATTTATCTAGATGGTTTTACGCCAAGTGGTCTAACGCGTAAATTAAACATGATGTCCGATACGTAGGGTCGCCTGCTTAATCTCGTGCATTTTCACTCGGCACACACCCCTCGCTCCCCCAGTAAAGACAACTGCGCTCAAGCTAGTTATTAAACATATGATCTGGGTTAATGCCGAATGGAGCTAAGTAGTGGTCAGACAGTTGAGTGTGGACGTTACCTCAAATTACCCCCCCCCCCCCCGGCACACACACACACACACACACACCCACACACACACACCCACACCATCCCGATGCACGTAACCCCCCCCCCCCACACACACACACACACATCCTACACACACATTATCAAGTTAGTCTGTTTTCTGTACTTTTTACTTACGATTACAAACTGGAAAATCGCCGAAAACTGAATGTTTTATCCAATCTCCAGCATTACACACGTGGAGACCTCTTGAACCGCCAACTCGACTATAACCATCTTGGCATTGGAATTCTACCTGTTGCCCATGGCGAAGGGAGGTGGTTCTTATTTTAGTAAAATCCCCCAAGTAGGTGAGAGGACTACAATGATAAGCTGAAAATATGGAAATGAGGACAGGAATTAGAAATTTATAAAACGTTCAGGTGTATTTATAATGAGTGGCTCAATAATTAGCACGTTGGCTGGATATAGAGGTCCTGGGTTCGATCCCTGCGTTTGCCGAGAACGTTCGTCGGGATTTTTCTGACGTGGTTCCACCTTGTCAGTGATGTAGGACAGAGGGTATGGTATAGACGTTCAGATTGGACGAAAAATGAATTTTTCCGAAGTGGTTCCCCCTTGTCAGTGACGGAGCGCCTGGCAAGGGACAATGTATAGTCGTTCGAATGGGACAAAAAATGATGTCCCGTGTACATACTGGCGCGCACGTAAAAGAACCCTTGACATTTGGAATTCGAAATAAGAGTGGGTCGCAGCGCTGCTACCCAGGCAAAAGTTCCCTCATAGCACACTGCATGGCGTATGCCCGTCTTCATTTTCCCAGTAGGAGCAGCATAGTAGGACGTTAATATATGTATAGCTCGCTTGAGTAATAAGGCCTGTTTTATGATATGTTTTATCTAATCACTTAGGTAAACTATACAATACTAGCCCCCCCCCCCCCCCACGATAGCTAATGTATATTTTGTATGTACATCTAACAATATTGTGTACAATTATGCTGTATTATGGTTCTATACTGAATGAAAAATTATTATTAATAAACAATAACACACTTATTGAAGAACAATTACTGAATTCGAAGTGTATTCTCCCAACGTTTCCAAGCACGTATAGTGTAACAAAATGTAGGGCACTTACATATAGACAAGCAATAACCACAAATCAGAAACCATGCATTATTATAAGTAATATGAACTGTGAAAGATGAATCTCTAATAGGAATATCTGTCAAAAACTGGTTCAATTTCGTTCAGTATTTACAACGATATATGGAATTGAAATTTAATCGATCTATAATGCTGCTCTCTGTGTAATACGGCGACCGTAATTTTGTTTTCCACGAAAATGTAATGTCTTATATCCAACTGAATCCAAGCCGGCACATTATCGAGCGTTTTTATGTGTTTTCTTAGTTGAATGTTAAAGATAGATTATGTAAGATTTAGATAAAGAGATAGCCAATTCTTGCTATAATGGTTCGAAAATAGATAATGTAAAATAAATAATTTGGAAATTTCATTCAAATTACTCTATTGCAAGCGAAGATATTAGCCTTTGAAGTTTTGACCAAGACGTGTGCAATAATATCAACCACCGTACTGGTTGTTCAAAGCTAAGTCTCGCTCCTCCATTTTTAAATTAAATCAAAATATGGCCGAACCATTCTAATCTATTTAATATCGGAGAAATCCGATCCCATCGAGAGTTGATTATGGCCTAGGTACGTTAATTAATGTCTTATTAATAATTTTGAAAACATTTCAGGCCTAAAGAAAGCCCTGCCAGATTTAGCTCTTGCATAATGTATGTTTCAATAACCAATCTGAGTACATTAGGCCTGCACCGTAGTTCCAAGCTGAAATGATCATTTCGTTTTAAAGAAATGTTAGTTAAACATCATTTCATTCATTCATAATATTTTCGATCTTAAATTTCGAACGCTCTTTCTAGTAAAAGACAAGTAGAACATAATATATACTTTATTCACATGCACAATTCGGGCACAGGTTTTTAATGCCTAACCAGTTAGTATTAGGTAGCGCCTATTTAAAAATGCATTGTGTAAGAGATAAATCATGACAAGTCCTAATTCTATTCTCTAAACCATCGGATGGTCGTGATTTTAAACGGATTAAAATATTATCGCCATTTATCAATTTAAAGGTGGATAATCGAGACTGGTACTTGACATACGAGACTATACGACGAAACCTACAACCACGAATAATTTCGCTTAGAAGAAGGTAATGTAGGTCAAAGTTTCAATATATTTATCTTAAATTATCTACTTTAAAACTATTTCAACTATCACTTTATCTAATCCTTACATAATGCATCTTTAACACTCTATGACCCAAACCACGTAGGACGAACATTGGTGACCAAAACTTCCGTTGACAATACATTGATGGCAGAGGCGTCCTTTGATGATACATTGGTTAACCCTTTCTTTATCCTACTCGACACAGTTAGGGTACCCAATCAGCTATTTCGACTATTTCATTTTGGATTTTTCAATTGTATGTTTGAAATCGCCCAGTGACGCATTTTAGTCTTGATTATCACCCATGCGCTTTTACAGTATATAAATATGTGTAGCCCAGCATATAATCCCGTATTGATTTGTTATACGGTAATTAATTGGTTGTTGAAATAGCATTTAAAAAAGATAATTTAATACAGAAGACATTCTCCCAACCGGCAAAGAGAAGATGGGTGGTTTCGATTCCCCGCTTGTACCGGACTAGGAGTAGGAATTGGCTTTCCCATCCTCGTAGGTTTTCGCCGTATTTTCGGGTTTCCTCCGAATGCTAAAGGACCCCTTCCCTCATTCGCCCCCCCCCCCCTCTCTGTCATAACTAAGTAAGGCTTGTAATACTTACTCATCCTCATCCAATTTGTTGCATAACAGTTTAATAACCAACCAGCGATAGGACAACCGGGTAACTGTTGGTCGCGGGTGTAACACTCCGATACATACTTAACGCAATCACACATTCCATCATGATAACCTGAAGCTTTAGGATCTGAAATTGGAATGTTATAATTTATTATCAACCCGTGAATCAGTTAAATACAGGTATTGTTTATTCTCAGGCGAAGTTTCAGAGGATTTTTTGCACCAACAGCCAACTCGATCTCGTTCAATTACACATTCCTATACATTAAAGAACACGTCTATTATAAATAAGTTTACTTACTTTTGCAAAAGTCGGACGTTCCACAGGATTTTTTGCACAAACAAGATGTTCCTGTTAGAGATGCATTAAATAAACAATCGCCGGCAGCGGCTAGATTCGGACATTCTGGATCCGGTAGATCATCCCAACAATAAAGCCACACCTCATCTACAAAATATAAATTGCACAATGTAGTTTGTACCAATAGATTGCAAATGGCCATTTCGCTTGTACTCGAAAACAGCAAATTGTACTCTCCTTATTTACCAACTGACTCACCAGGGGCGACAGAACGACGGGAATATGGGTGAAAATGCCCCACTGCCCTCATTCTGCTGATTTGGTGTGGTTTAAACGGTAACCGATTTCAAATTTCAATATCTCTGTACCAGAATATCAAAACGAAACCAGGCGTGAGAGCCCCCCCCCCCCCCCTTGTCTAAGTTTTTCCCCTTGCAAGTGGCACAGGACCGTGATGGACGGAGATGGGGCGGAAAAGAATAGCGTCTAGCCGTTTGGGTGGTTCCCATGTACTCGTTTTGTGCAGAAAATTAGTAGAGAAATGGAGTTTAACGTTCAGTCGAAAAATCTAGGTTATTCCGGGACTTACATATGGTTTAGTTTTTATTTCAATAATTAGCAGTGGGGGTCTTTAGCAGTGGGGATAAACCGGAGGACCCGGAGCAAACCCACGAGGACGGACAGGCGACCCCACTCCTTGTCGTGTAGAAGCGGGGAATCGAAACCACGCCATTTGACTCAATGACATGCGTAAACCATTCGGCCACCAAACTTCAGCAGTAGAAAATTGTCATCTTGTTATTTTTTCAAAAATATATCATTATATTACCTGTGTTTAAAAGGATCATCACAATTGTAAGTGTAGAAAACATCTCCTCCTGTTTAATTTAATGATATAAACACAATCCTTCTTTATTACATTATTTAGTTTAGTGTCCTTGGTTATTAAGAAATTTTATTACTAGTTGTTTATAAACGTTCAAAACTTCTTAATTCTTGTTTTTCAATTTGACAGATTTTAAACATAACGGAAATAATGTAGGATAAACATGTTTTCTTAAATTCTTTTTAAAGTATGACGTTTTTCTTTTTTAGTGACGAAAATCTATTAATCCTTGTATTCTAATTCCACTACACGCCAGCTCCTAGTAGAAACTCAAGCCACACAGAAAATTACACTACACACCAACCCCTTATGAAAACTCGAGCTATACAGGAAATCAATGCATGATGTGATTAATAAGAAAATAAACATCAAATGTAATATTCAAACAACTCTTTCACTCCCGATAAAAAAAAACACTCTGGATGTACTACGCCGACAATGTGAAAGACTCAGGAGAAAGTGATATATATTTCCATGATTTTCTATAATATGAAGTTAGGTATTGATTTTTGTTATTCAATCCATACATCATCGCCGCGTCTCGTAGACTATATTATTGTTTCTTCACAAAATTGAAATATATGTGTATCTGTAGGCAATTAAAACAATCGCCTCCCTGAAAGTTTCAACTCAAAATATTGAATCGTTTGAAACTGATAGCCAAAAGCGTTTATAAGAGTTACTTAAATCTTTTAGAGTGCTCGTCTCCCGCAGTCCAAGATTCTTTTCAAAGTGTCAGTCTTATTGTATTAACTCTTAGCCTAATGGTGGCGATGCTATTTTTATTTCGAGATGTTTGTCCTAAAGATTTATTGGAGCCACCCGCCCGGGTTCCACAATAAAACGCAGAAACAGTTTGATACTTTTACGAAATTCTGGGACTTTCAAGTGTCTTAAAGCATCCCACCAATGAGCTGATTCGGTTCCTCGCTATGGACTTAGTGTGCCATAACAGACCACATTACAGTATTGAGCGACTATGGTTCCCTGCACCTCGACTGTGACATTGAACACCATTTTCAATTTCTTAAATCTTATATGGTGTACAGCCATGTTTGAGGGCAGAATGAAGCCAAATAATCACTAAATATATAATTTTTTTTTATTTTTTTTTTATCGAAACCTTGTATAAATCAGCAAGCGAATGGCCACAATACGTACCCATGGGAATGTCAATTATTTGCTGTTATATTTCCACCCGGGTGATACGAAGATGTTGCTAATCACATATGGGATACGATTGTAGGAACTTGAATCTATGGGAAAATATTATTTGATGATTATTCTGAGACTGGATATAAAACTGAACTGGCAGGTTTTTGCTCTGCATTCGATCGCTCGGACTGATTGTATCTGCTAGATTTATGCCATACATATCAGACAAAATATGCCCACTGTCTTGTCCTCTGTTGTATCTATATAATATACATATTGGTTTTATGGCGATCCATAGAATGAAAGCTGGCAGGTGGGATAGTGCTATTCGAGGACGCATTAATTTACTGGTTTACCAAATGAATTTAAACTTATGGTTTTCTGGATTATACATTTGAACCGAACGCGACAAAAATCAAATTGTTTTAAAAACAGCCCCTCGACAGTAACCGCACTGAAATTAGTATAGTACTATTTAAACTTTTCGCTTTAGCCTAGCGGGGGCGGGGGGGGCACTACCGGGGAAAACAGAAGACTAAGCAAATAACGGGAGTAAAATATTTTGAATTACTGGGGTTAATTTCTAATTTAGAATAAAAACGTAGAACATCTACAGCAGATAATGTCTAGGCTGCAGGGGATGCCAGTTGGTCACAATATTGTAGTCGACTCTTTAAAGGGTATACGAGAAATAAGGTTAAACAGACATTCGGCATCCTCTGCAGACGATACATACAGGTAATAGTCAAAGCAAGCCAGTGCCATCTACATTTGTTGGGCCTCCTTTTTGTCCAATTTACTCCCCACAAGGAAATAATATTGACTGTTATACGAACAAACTGTTTTTTGATTACTTGAGGAGAAATATCCAAGATGAGATCGCCAAGTGCGCTTCATATGTTCACTGGAGTAGGACTTTAAATTAAATTGCATTTGAGAGTCTACGAGTTACACCTAGACATATAAAATTAACTGCAGTGAGAACAATGGGTAGTTTGGTATAACGTAGTTACGTTACGTTATCAGCTAAAATGTTACTACGGCATTAGTTAACTCAAATGTTATTAATGAAACAACGTATATAATTTTCAAACATTAGTTTTATTGAACGTTTTTTTACAAACATTTCCTGCCAACATTCTCAAAACAAAAAATATATGGCAAGTTAAACCTATAATGAATCCAACTTTAAAAACTGTAGAATCCTCACAGTCCACCACTATTGAAAATAACGCATTTATTTCTGTCTTGTAGGGCATGTAAAGAGAGTTTTAGGAGCCACGGTGACCAAGACGATTGATCATTACCCAGGACCTATAGGGTTCAATCCCCGGTTTTGGCTGATAAGAGTTCCTCGGGATATTTCGTCGTGGTTCTGGCAAAGAACAGCGCCCAGACCTTCGGATCGTAAAACACCCCAATGTCCCTCATCATGAACCCGGTTTGTTAGTGTTAGTGTTAATACGGATGCATTCTTTGAATCACATTTAGTAATTAGGACCTTTTATTTGATATAGTAAGGTGTGTTCTATATGTCTTCTCTCGCAATCAGTCTGTTAATACGGATATATTAATGTGTACTCTGTATTTTGAGCCCTTTCACCACTTTCATTCAAACGACACACGTGATTGACGTCATCATAAGTATAGCCAACACAAAAATATGACTGTAGACAGAGAGCACCGCAGTAAATATCACTTCTACCTGGTTTTATACTTAACGTTTTATTGGCTACTGCTTCATTTCCAGGTAATATCTTGAAATGACCAATATATGCTGAAATAAATGACAGACATTGATTTAGTTCAAGTTTAATTGAATTATAGTGTGAAGCGGATATAAAATATAATAAAATACATTACGGAGGGGGCTAAATATTGCAAATAAACTCGTGGCTCGGTGACTGTGGTGCTGGCTCATCAACCAGGGTTTCCCGAGGTCGATCCAGGTGTTTGACAAGAAAATTTCCAAGGAATTTCCAGTGTGGTTTCCCCGTGTCAGTGGTGCAGGGCGGAGGGTATGGTAAGGAATAAGGTTATACCATTGACAGTTTGAAATCAAAATAAATGCAATGGGAACCATTGAACATCTCAGTGCACAGAGAGAGAGAGAGATTAACGTCCACTCGACACAAACTAGGTCATTTCGGGACTAACATATAGGTCAATTTCATTTTAATAATTCGCTTGCGCGTAGGGGTCTTTAGCAGTGGGAGGAAACCGGAGAGAGGGTATATTAACATCCACTTGGTAAGGAGTAGGTCATTTTAGGGCAACCATATTGTTCAATTGCGCCTGTAGGGGTATTTAGCGATGGGAGATAATTGGAAATTGGAGGATCCCACGAAAGTTTACGTGGCTGGACAGGCCACTTGTCACTTAAAAGACAAGCTGGGTTCGAAACCATGCCATTTGACTTAATGACAAATCTTGTGGTCTATAGCTCAGACGTTTGACCATTTCCACCACCACCCTTCTTTATGGTTTGAATACAAAAGTAAACAATTCGTATGATTCATTATCCCGTATTTTCTACTTACGAATGCAAACTGGAAAATCGCCGTAAACTGAATGTTTTTTCCAATCTCCACCGTCACACACATGGAGACCCCTAGAACCCCCAACTTTACTATAACCATCAACACATTGGAATTCTATCTGTGCGGTATGGTATTTGGCGGTGGAGTTAATAAGAACCGTGCGATCTTTGCTAGGGAAAATCAAACACGTCCAAACTGAAGAAAAGACAAACCAAGATTGATTATAAAATATGTCAAAAACATAGAAAAGGACTATACAAATTAATGTTAATCGTCCCGACGCACGCAACGGGCAGTTTCGGGACAACTAGCAATGCTGTCGAAATCCTATAGGCGAATGAGCAGGATCCGGGTGGAGTCAATATTTGTCTGGCGATCATCGAGTTCTAATGATTCAAGCATGGTTAAATGGACAATAAATCCCCTCTAAATACGAAACAGGAAGTGTTTATCTCCTAAATGATCCCAGTTACAGTGTTTAGATTTCTTCAATTACCTTTCTTTTGCAGATTTTCATAGTCCGCCAACTGAGTACTTTATTTAAACATGAAATTGATCATTCATAAAGTTTTCTCAAATAATTGACCGTGTAAGTTTAGAAAAAACAGCACATTCGTGACATCAATATATTTATTTTTGCCTGTTGACTCACTAGCTAGTGATCGGATGCTATCTGGTAAGGTTATGTAGGTTTATTTTTCGGGTAAAAAGTCAACATCCTTTTCCGACGCACTGATTATAATCAAGCCTCGTTAGTTGGGCCTTATTTTGACATAGTTGTAATGGCTCTGTCAATGGGTATTCTCAACGTTAAATAGTAGCTTTCGATGTCCCGGTTAGCACAAATGCTTTACACAACCAAGTTAAGAACACTTTTATGGATATACTTCTTCTGAATTTATTAACATTCTACGCTTCGATACACATACAGGTATCGTTATCAAGCAAATAATGATATTTAACAACTACATCTACCTTAGTCATACTCGTTTCAGACCTTTTTTCCTACTACTTTGTAAAAGATTAAGAAAGCAGCGGTGGAAATGACTTGAAATTTCTCCAGACTTTATCAACCTCCCAGGTTAAGACTCGCGTATATAGCTTGCGCCACATTCACTCTCCGGTATGCTACCATTCAAACAATTTCTTGCGTCTGATTTTGTCCCCGATGCCGTAGTACTTCAGGTCTCCTAAAATGCCATGTTTCGTTTGGCCGTTTCATAGAAAGGGAAGAAACCCAATTTAAATAACTGGGGATCACACCAAACCTTAGCATGCTCGTTATATAACAATATGATAACCAATCCCAGTAAACCAAGAAGGTGGTAATGACTGGGGATCACGCCAACCCTTGCCATGCTGGTTATATAACAATATGATAACCAATCCCAGAAAATCAAGAAGGTGGCAATGACTGGGGATCACGCCAAATTAACCTTGCCATGCTGGTTATATAACATTCTGGTGACCAATCCCAGTAAATCAAGAAGGTACTACTTACTATCCCTTATCGTGCTGGTTATGTAACATTCATTTGGCCAGTCAAAAGGACAGCCCGGGAGAGGTGTAAATGTATCACCACCATAACATTCAGGAAGATAGCTAACACAATCACATCTTTTATCATGATAGGCGATGAGCCTGGGATCTAAAATATGAACATCGGCAGTTGAATATTAGTTTTTATATTTGCATGAATTTGAGTGATAAGCAATCAGTTAGATCACGTTTTACCGTTGGTAGTCATTACATCAATTAATTGCATAACTGAGTCTATATTGTAAAATACTAGACTGTTTAGAGAGACAAATATTTATAATATATTTTAACTGAATATTGTGTAACTTGATTAAGTTTTTCTTTTCGTTTTAACTATTTATATACACGAATGACTTATATTTATTTGTAATTATATCTGTGATACATGTTTTGGTTTGTGTATATAAATATATTTATTTGTACCTTTATATTCACCATATGTTCGGCAAAATATAGTCCGTTTGTCGCGAACATACCATAAAACTCTCATTTCATTTCAATTTCATAAACAATCCAATTGTGTCGCTATTATATTCTAAGGTAAATAGTTTTAAATTCTTTTACATGGATTAAAGTCTGATCATGATTTAATCCCGGAGATGGGAGCTACCGTTTCTCTGATTAGTGCTATAGTTCACGATTTCCAGGTGCAGGGCGGAAGACGAGTCAGCAGTGAAAACGGTCTACTCATTAGCACTATTGGCAGTCGGGATGTCATGACGCCCCCCCCCCTTCCGGGCAAGGTGAAGCATCAAATCGTGTTTAGACGGCAAAAACGGACATGTTCCGTTGGAATCGAAGACGCCGCTCTCTGGGCAAACCGTTCCTCGTAGCACATGCACTGTGTGGCATTTATCCGTCTTACCTTTGTCTCAAAATGACCTATTGAGTTGAACAGCAGTCAACTCGATTTCGTTCAATTATCAATCACTACCTTTAGGAAAATAAATGTCTATAATAAATAAGTTTACTTACTTTTGCAATACTCGGACGTTCCACATGATTTTTTGCACAAACAAGATGTTCCTGTTAGAGATGAATTAAATAAACAATCGCCGGCAGCGGCTAGATTAGGACATTCTGGGTCCGGTAGATCATCCATACACGTTATTGTAAAACATCGATGAACTACAAAATGCAAACAGTAGTCGTAATGAAATGAAATGAAATGGAGTTTAACGTGCTACTGTTCTATTCCGACCAAAGAGTAGCCCGAAAACCGGTGATTCAACTAAATCTGGAACAAGGCCATATATAATAGAAATAAAATGAAATGGGGTTTAACGTCCTACTGTCACAATAGAAATGGGATGGGGTTTAACATCCTACTGTTCTGTACGGACTGGACTAATGGATGCAGGCATAAACCATACAGTGTACTATGAGAGTAATATAGACCGGACAGCGAATCTGATATCGAATTCTCCGGTTTCCTCCCACTGCTAAAGACCCCTACGCGCAAGCGAATTATGTAAATAAAATTAAACCATATGTTAGTCCCGAAATGACCTAGTTTGTGTCGAGTGGACGTTAAACCCCATTTCTCTCTCTCTCTGATATCGAATTCCAACTTTCAAAGGTTCTTTTATGTGCGGGGGATCACGTGGCTAAGTGGGTAAGGCGCTGGCTCGCTAGCCTGGAGGTCGGGTGTTCATCCAGATTTTCCGGCGTGGTTCCCCCTTGTCAGTGATGCAGGACGGAGGGCCTGACAAGGACAGCTGTCTAGTCCTTTGGATAAGACGAAAAACCGAGGTCCCGTGTATATATTGGAATGCACGTAAAAGATCCCCTGGCAGTTGGAATTCGATATAAGAGTAGGCGATAGTGCCGCTGCCCGGGCAAAATTTCCCTCATAGCACACTGTATGGCGTATGCCCGTCTGCATTAGCCCAGGTTAGGAACAGAACAGTAGGACGTTAAACCCCATTTCATTTCATTTCTTTTATGTGCAAGCCAAATTGTACACGGGACCACGAGTTTTCGTCCCATCCGCACGACTATACGTTGTGCTATATAATAGAAAGAGATATCTAAAGGATAGACCCTAAGGTCTACTCGTTAAAGAAATCGTCCACTTTTCCTGCCATCATACAAATTGATCTGTAATTAGCTAAATACAGTTCTATATAATTAATAATTAATGACAGTGACATACAACGTTTACATCTATCAACAATTGGGGACCGTTATTTGGTCAGTGAACAAGTTAGCCCAGTCGATGCAGAAACGTAGGACGTTAAACCCAATTTCGTTTCTATCAACAATCAGATATAAGAGTTTATCATACCTTAATTACAAGCTAAGTCTTATTCTTATACCATGAGCTAAGTATCTTGATTTGTCCAATCGCAGAGACAAGATCATTTTTATTTTCATTGACAATAAGATAAATTGTGCGCAGCCAGTAGAAAAATATAAGTCTTAATGGCAAAGTAAACTTGCCGCGCTGGGGATTTGGAAAGGAACAATGTACGTCCCCACCGACCCGCTCACCCACGCGTGCTCAATAAGAGTAAAAACCAAGGATCATAAAGCTATTTTGTTCTCCAGTTATGCCGACAGCGAAATGCTCCCATCACACTCCATAAAACAAATGAGTATTAAGTTAAAATAAATACGTTTTATGACCATGGGACTGCACCTGTTAATAATACATACTTTTGCCATTTCTGTGATTGCAATACCATTTATTTGTAAACAAAAACATATCACATTACCTGTATTCAAAAGAATCACCACAATGGTAAGTGTAGAAAACGCAGCCATTTCCTTATTTTAATGATATAAATACACCATTTTGTTATTAAGATATTTTGGTATCAGTTGTTCAAATGTGGGCAACCGCTTAAACCGTTTATTTCAATTTGATAGATCCGTTACAGCTTACTATGGTGTGGCTTCAGAGAGTTTTAAAAGCACACAGGAAAATAACGTAGGATAATCGTTTATAAAACATCAAATCAATGTTCAGAAAACTTTTTGTGGTAAGTGGCTCTTCATTAAGATTCTGATACTTTACTCCTCAACAAAATAAAACCCACTCAACAAAACAGACAGCATAAGTGATAAACAAAGCCTTTAGGTCTTCAATGATATTCTTATACTTCACATCTGAACAAAACAACGCCACCCAGATTTCACAAAGTAGACAGTGTTGATGAGACACGAAGCATATGGGTTGTTAATGAGATTCCAATACTTCACTCCTGTTAGGTTTAATGAACCACGCATTGTGTGGCAAGAGAAAGCGATATAATCCGATGATTGTTTAAGATATCAAGTTCAGTATTGATCATCTATTTATTCCATGTATTAACTGACAAAAAATGTAAAATGTGCTTGTATTGGTTCACATTCTGTCAACAGTGAGCTCTCTGATATCATCGTTGTATTTAAGTATAATTAATATTTAAAGAAGAAGCATGCCAGCCAGTAAAATAAGTAGACAGCCGGTGTGGGTCTTCCAATAACCTGGCGAACTGAACAATGAAAGCTATTTGCCGTTTTTTGTCAAGACAATGTGCACATTAAATCATCCCGATAAGCCACCGCCGTTAAAACCATAGTCACACTAGTGGCGGAATGAGCCGGAGTGAAACCATTCTTGTGTTCGGCCCGAATGTTTTGGTCATGTAGAAATTTCGATGTGCATTCGAAGTGGAGAAAATCGAACGGCATTCGAAATGTATTCTAAATGCACTGTAAATGTATTCATAAATATTGGGAGTTGGATGGTGGAATGGTCAACGCGTGCGCGTTGTATCATGAGGTCTGTCATTGAGTCAACCCTTTGGGTTTTCTCCAGGTCTTCCGGTTTTCTCCCTCTGCTAAATCCTTATGCGAAAGCGAATTATTGAAATATAAATTGAACAATATGCTAGTCCCGAAATATTCTAGTTTGAGTCACGTGGATGTTAAACCCTCGAATATATCCTGATTGCTGTCGGGATCTTATCGTTGTGACTTGCAAAGTACATTCCAAGTATTCGAGCTGCATTCTGTTTGGATTCTTGGACCATCGAACCATATTCGGCGGCCATTCCCTGAGCGTTCTGACTGCATTCGAGGCGAATTAGTAAAGTATTCGAGGCACCTTAAAACCAGACCCCGGGAGGTATTTGGGCAGCAATCAAACCGCACCCATACGACATTCGAGGTGCAATTTAAGTATTCTGACTGCATTGCAACAACATTCTAAATATTCCTACTGTACTCCAACTAGATTTGAGTAGCATTAATACACCCGGTGGACCTGAAATTTGGAGGTGGTAAATACTTTTTGAAATGAAAAAATTAATTCCTTTTTTGTAGAATGATTAAAGGAGATTTTAAAACAGGGGTACATTGTCTGGGGACAGAACAATTAAGTAAATAGTACTTACTGGCCCTTGGGGACAGTTTATGATTCATCTAAATCTAATGGTTGTTTAGGTCTTTAAAAGATAGGTGCAGGCTTGGATATATTAAGACACAATTTGAACAAGACATCATGTAAGATTTGACATAGCAGCTGTGTATCACAAGAGGTTGAGAGGAAACGATCATACGTGAAAAATTATGTTTTGTTATTCTTGAATATTTCTTGTTATACCTATAGTTATCCGTAGACCTTATAAGGGTGGGGCGGGGTGGACCCAACTAATTATTAAAATAAAATTGAAATATGTTAGTCTCGAAATGACATAGTCGTGTCGAGTGAACCCCCTTCTCTCTCTACCCCCCCCCCCTCTCTCATTTTGAGGAGATGATCATAAGTTGACATAGTGGGGTTTGGATTATATGCCGCCTATGTAGTACTTGTAAGATAGGATCGTCTAAGATTGAAATATTCTTCCGCTTGGACTTCGTTTGTTGTGATTTACCTGTGTCAATTATTTTAAGCAACTACAGTTCGGGTTCGATGATTAATTTTAATTCTCTTGAGCAAGGTAGAATGATAATCGCAATATTCTCGAGAATACGAATAAGCTCTATGAATTAATTGAGGTTCTGTCAAGTCAAACAAGGTTTGGTATTTTATACCCATGCCATCAAGTTATTACTGATTGGTTAAATATGTCCCATAACGCAACGAATTGTTAACAATGGACAATGTTAACAATAATTGAAACCTGCATCTAATATATTTTATGGTTCGAAGACCGACCTGGAATCTAGATGGTACTTGTTTACACCTGTTGGTGACAGATGCGTCTGGAAACAAACTAATTGCAAAATAAGAGTCCTAATTTGAAAATAAATTAATTGTTAGTCTAACCCTAATCCGTTACACATGTCTAGCGGTTAATGTTATGTGTCATCAGGCGCTAATACAATTATTTAGGATTTAAAGTACGGAGTAACGTTTGACTTTCGCATTCTAGACAAATGTTATAGTATGTTCGAACTTTGATTTCATGTTATTCTGGGTAATGGCCACTGCAAATATTATTTTAATGACCTGTTGTTTATATTCTTTACTGCCAATATGCCCGTCTTCTTTAGCCCAGTGGGAGCAGAACAGCAGGGCGTTAAAGCCCATTTCATTTCTTTCCATCTGTTGAAGGACAACGAATGATATATACATTGTCACAGTTTTATGTACAGGGCTATTATTTTCACAGCTCTGTACTCGCGTCAATTTATCTAAGATACAAGCTGTATAGTTATTCGATTATGGTGTGGAAAATATTCCATTGACCTGTTGTCGACTGTTGGGGCGATAGCTGATCTGGCTCGGTACCCTTTAAGGTAAATCGATTATTTTATTAGGTGCCTCATTGGAAATCCTTACACCCACAGATACATTAACCCTTATCTTCTTTCAATCTGGAGCCACGCTGGCTAAGTGAGTTAAACGCTGGCTCGCCAGCCTTGAGGTCACGAGTTCGATCCCGGTGTTGCCCGAGAGTGAGTTGTATAGGATGAGACAGAAATCCGACGTCCCGTGTACACATTGGCGTGCACGTAAAAAATCCCTTGGCAGTTTGAGTTCTATATAAGCGTAGGCCGCAGCGCCGCTTTCCGGGCACAATTTCCCTCACAGCACAATGTATGGCGTATGCCTGTCTTCATTAGCCCAGTCGGAGCAGAACAGTAGGACGTTAATCCCAGTTTCATTTAATTGCATATCAATCTGATCAAAACACGATAACCAGTACCAGCACACCTGAGGAAAACAGCCCCACGCCCAAGGAAAACATCTGGAACGGAACAGCGTTTATATACTGTACCACCCAAAATTAATTCTGATTTAAAGAAATGACATGGCCGTTAAAAAGAAAGTATATTGAGCCATATTAATTCTGGTACAATAGAAATGATTTGTCAAGGGTTCTTTAATGTGCACACCAATATGTACACGGGATCTCGGTGATTCGTCCCATCCTAACGACTAGACAATATTTCTTGATAGACCCTCCATCCGAGTTATCATAGACAAGAGAAAACACGTTTCTAAACAAAGTCAGAAATTTAGTAGGAAACTGAACGATAGTTATTTTTCTGTCGCGTATTTATTTCCTGTCCATATACAGTATTATATCTATTAGCTGTTTACATATCTCACTTAGTAATCTTAAGACTGTGACAATCGTGAATATAATACTTAAACACGTTACCCAGTATTGTAAATGTAACAATGCAAGTGAAGCTTTCCAGGTTTAAACACTAGCTTTGCCTCATATATTGGCCAGTACACTACAACCGACAATAAGGAATTAACTGGTAAGGCTCACTGGACATCATGGCGGAAGGGCGAACAGTCTGCAGAAGAAAGGGCGTCCATGTTCACCAAACATTATTACATTATGAGCTGAAATTGTGCAGGGGATTTAGCTAACAACAAAATAAAACATGAACCTACTTCGACAAAAGCATAAAACATTTATTTCTGTCAATCAGTTCATTAATGTAACTTCATTAAATGTTAAAGTCCCGGTGCACCAATTTAGTACTATAGGATTCACTTGCAAACTCCAAAATTGTGAAAGATGAATCTCTAATAGCAATGTGAGTCCAAAAAATAGTTCAATTCCTTTCGGTATTTACAAAGTTATGTAAAACTGTCATCGATCTATGCTGCTTCGCTATGTAATATGCAGGTGGCCATTTTGTTGTCTACGAAAATGTTCTGATATCCTATTTTAAATCAGACTGAATCCAAGCCGGAAAATTATCTACCATTGATATTTTGAATTTTTTTCTTAATTAGATGTTAAATAACCAATCTAAGTACATATTATTACCGTGGATTAAGACGTGATAAATTTTATATTTTAGCGAAAGATGCAAATGGCGCACCGGGACTTTAATGCGGGTATGTTTTTGCCTGCTCTATATTTGAATAATACGGATATATTATGGCATGCTCTATTTGTTTTCACCCTCAACCAGTCTGTTAATACGGATATATTAATGTATACTCTGTATTCTGTGCCCTTTCACCGCTTTCATTCAAACGACACACGTGATTGACGTCATCATAAGTATAGCCAACACAAAAATATGACTGGAGACACAGAGCACCGCAGTAAATATCACTGCTACCTGGTTTTATACTCAACGTTTTATTGGCTACTGCTTCATTTCCAGGTAATATCTTGAAATAACCAATATATGCTGAAATAAATAACAGACATGAACCGTAAGAATACACCTGTCTGATTGTCGTGCACGTAAAAGAACGCCTTGACAAATTCTCCCAAAGCAAACTGTATGGCGTATTAGTCAGTTGGTATTCGATATATTTTAAATCAGAATTGATTACACATGTTGGATTTAATTAATTGGGTTGATGTTGATTTAATAAATTCGGTTGATCAGAGATTGCAATGTAAAAACGAAAAATTAACCGCGGAACAGTGTGGGCGGGTCGAACGACAACGCGGAACATGGGGGTGGAGGGGAGTTCCGGTGACACCACGAATAGAAATTCATAAATTAAATGTCGATTGTTATTGAATCATGGACGGAAATGACCTAGTTTGTGTCGAGTGGTCGTTAATCCTGTCTTTCTCAACATTGGTGGGTGGAGATATATTTGCGGAGTTTTCGTTTGGACGCAAGTGTGGAAATGTTGCAACGGTCCCTAAAGCCCTCAAAGTGCTAAATTGGGTGGATCTGGTGTAGATTTATAGGAGCTCATCTTTAAATAAGAGGTACAAGCTGGCCTACTATCTGGACCAGGTACCGAACATGATACCATCACAGCCATCTTTGAAATGTGACGTCATAATAATAATAGAAGTCTGTCAATCGACGCGCAATTTTCTAAGGAACAAGTATTGTGTCGTTCGTACTTGAATTGGCGGGGCCTTAAGCATTTTGTCGAAGAGCGTCGCGTCAAGAAGTACAAGATGGCTAGCCCATTGGGATGGAGGGTTGGGATGGCCTACTGGTTTAGAGTGTCACGGTTCCAAATTTAGCTGGCCGGTCACCTCTGACTTGTGATCGTATTTTCGATCTCTGCTGTGAGCGTTTTTTGACTTGGTGAAAGGGGTGCCTTCACAATCTCGTGGATTTAAGACAATAAAAATAAGCCAATTTGTCTGCGATATCACCCTCGGTGGAAGCGGGCGTTAAAAACTAATATAAGGAGTAGAGCACTTGGGAGGAAACGAAAGCCCATGTCACCTGCAGGCCTGAGATCGAAACCACTTTATGATCGGCCAATCAAAGTTGCCTTTACCCAATCAATTACTTACGTTGACAATAAGGTGTTACTGATCCGGTCATGAGTTTCCAGGAACCGTCTGCAGTACAAGCATGTTTGCCATCATTACCTGATAGTTTGACTGTGCCTGACTGACAGCTGTATGTTACTTCATCAGCTAACGTATCTTCAATCAGAGAGGGCGTGGCATATAATACCCTAGGAGGGATGCCACAGGACGCACCTAGAAGAAAATATGTTTATGGTTTTACCTGGCAAACAATCCAATGTTTACTGCCCCAGGGTCATTTACGTTCAATGAACAAGTAACAGGTGCGTTTAACACAGAGAACTATCATACGTAATAGTAAGTGCAGGACGACCGCACTACACACAAAACAATGCCGACAAGACAAACCTGTGGACTAGACAAACTACATTGAAAGAAGTAAACTAATATCTAATCAAGTGAATGAACCCAATCTTGACGGTGGTCGTCTCTTAAATTGTTTATTGTTTGTATACCTTAATTGTGCTTAATAAGGACAAGAGGATACTTGTTGAAACGTTATATACTAATAATGATGCCAGTGATTGTTATCCATAAAGTTGTGTTTTGTGTTATTTCAATGTTTTCTATCAATAAATATCGGATGACCGTGATATTGAATGGATTGGAACACTCACCATTTATGATGTTAAAACATTAAATTGAATAATCGAGACCTTAATTATTATTGCAGCAATGGAATTTGATCATGAGACTGTCTTGTCACAACTTCGCTCAGAATAAAGTAATTTCACCGAAATTTTCAATAAATTCATTTTTCAATATCAGTTTTGGAACTTTCGTAAGAAGAACGATCAGCCCTTTATCTAAATATCACATAATGCATCTATAACTATATCGTATAGTCTACTTACCACTCTTTCAGTGCAGAAAACCCACATTTAAATTCATTTCTACTTACCACCACAAATTGGAAAATCGCCATACACTGAATGTTTTCTCCATACCGCAGCATCCGCATCACATACATGAAGGCCTCTTGAATCCCCAACTTTGTTGTAACCAGGAGGACACTGGAATTCTATCTGATCAGCATGACGGCGGGCGGTAGGATTCATAAGAATCAGGTCACCACTTGGAGGGAAAAAATCACACATATACCCTTAAACGAAAAACATAATTCAGGAGAATAAAAAGATATGCCTTCAAATCGTACCTGATATTCGCAAATATTATCCCCATCCTTAAAAAAATGCGATAAGACAGTTTATGGAAACTATAAAGCACGAGACTGGGGTTATGCTGGGGAAAGAAAGACTGAAGAAAATAACACGAGAAAAAGAAAAACCGAGGCCATAGGCTGAGGTTTTTCTGTCGAAGGTTTTTCTGAAGTCGTTCTTCCCCAGCATAACCGAAGTCGAGGACTTTATCTTGCTTATAAACCGTCTATGTTTACATGTACACAAGATGAGAATATCCCAGAATTCCCACAAGAAAAACCTTATATCATGTTTTCTTATGGAAAAGAATCTACCCTGGAAGACAAACCCGTTACGGGTTTAAAGAAAAACTTTCTGAAGAATAACCCCAAATTTCCCTGTATATATCCAAAACGTCCCCCGACTTTCAGACCGCAAGTTATTCCGGGCATAGAATATACCCCAAAGATCAAAGAGATTTACCGTTACAGGTTTTTAATCACGGTGAATCACGCGTTTTGTCAAGCCATTGATCAAGGACAATACACGAGAGCAGTGTTCTACGACATAAGCAAAGCTTTTCACAGGATCTAGCATACTGTCATAAGCTTGAGGCGGCTGGTGTCCGCCAACAAAGAGTCGTGTATGATGCGCCAGACTAGTTCCAGACGGTGTTCCACAGGGCTCTGTTCTCTGTCCCGTACTTATTCTAATCTACGTAAATGATATAGATAATATAAATCCAAACATTCGCTTATTTGCTGACGACACTACTCTATATCTAACAATCGATGATCCAGCTGCTAATGCCGATATCATTAATAATGACATAGAAAAACTATATAGATGGGCTAAACATAGCTGGTATCATCTAATCCCCTCAAAGTCGAAACACTGATACTAACAAGAAAAATCCCCCTCTTCAGCCCTTAGATTTGATCAAATTCCTATGAAAGAAGTCAACGAACATAAACATCTCGGCTTAATCCTTCAGTCAAACTGCAAATGGAACTCTCGCGTAGATTCAATAATCAATAAAACAAGCAAACTAATTAACTCTTTAATGTCACTCAAATATAGACTAAATCAAAAATACCTCATTTCGATGTTGTCTGGGATGGGTGCACCGATGATCATACTAACAAACTTACAATTAGATGCACTTATAACTATATGTGGGGCTGTAAGAGGTACGGTACTATCCATAAACTCTTATACAAAGAAACTGGGTTTATTATTACGACACAAATTGACATTTATTAATAAAAAAAATTAATGACCTGATAACCGCATACAAAAACGACTTAATATTATACCGACCCAATAATTATCATTTAAGAAACAATGAAAATTTGTCAGAATACCATTGTACAACAAAAATATGTTCGAACTTTTTCTGACCCTCTTCAATTAAAGAATGGGAAAAACATGATAAGAATATAAGACTTTCTCCTTCTATCACTATTTTCAAACAAAAACTAAAACTAAATGATCCAATTATTCCAAATTCATTTTTACAGGGCAAAAGAAAGAACCAGGTCATGCATAGCAGACTGTGGCTTTCTTGTGGCGACCTACGACATATCTCCAAGGATCCGTCATGCAGCTGCGTTCATCGATTTGAAGATTCTGATCATTTTCTCCGCTGGTGCCCACTATATTCAGATGCACAAAAACAAATTGCGGCTTTCTTGTGGCGACCTACGACATATCTCCAAAGATCCATCATGCAGCTGCGTTCATCGATTTGAAGATTCTGAACATTTTCTCCACTGGTGCGAATATATTCAGATGGACGAAAAACACATTTTAAATCTTCTACCATTACACCAGCAATCAATTAAATCCCTTCTTTTTGACATATATTGTAACAAAGTACTCTTTAACTTTCATCAAATTGAACGGTCATCTAGGTGCTTAGAACTTTATGACCTCCGCTGATTTTTAATAATATATGATTTAGCCTTTTCAACTCTGTATAAACTTCTCTTAAGGCACAGACTGGCGATGATCTAATTAAATATGTAATTAATCCCGTATGTCATTTACAAACTACATATACTCTGTGTACAAGATCCACACGAGTTCAAAGGAATATGCACTGGTCAGTAGGCATGCCGTGACGAGATAAAAGAGACAATTGCATGTATGACCATGTGTCCGAAGGTATATAACGAGGAGTTTGCTGACAGTTAGGCAGACAACTAAAGACGAACAGAGACAGGGCACAGAGAGACGGAGAGACCGGCGTATTGACTCACCCGAGTTTAGACGCTGCCTTGGCAGAGGGGCAGAATGGTGGATTTAACTATTCCTGTCGTATACTAGTTCTTATATAGTTTAAGTACCTGTATTGCTGTTGTAATTATGCAGATGCGTGATATTCTGTTCCCGTTGTAAATAAATGCTGTATTTACTAAAGTGATCTCTGTTATACTAAGATAGTGTTACAATATAACCAGGCTATAACTAATAACCTCTTTAAAATAGTACATGAATACTTCGATGTCACCAGACGTTCCAGTATCTTATTTTATTTATAGAACAAGTTTTAATCATGTTATAAAACAGCACTTACTCTCTTATGAACTTATGATTTTCCCCATTATTTTATAATATGTACATAGCAGATCTGCATATTATATGTTTTATATTCCTTGTATGAGCAGAGGGGCGATATATGCTATGAATAAAATATTGTTCACCAAAAAAAATATATGCCCTCAAATAAAATTGGATTTAACGTCCTACCTGTATACACCGACGACGAGCATACGCCATACAGTTTGTTCCCTTATATCATATTCCAATTGGCACGGATTCTTTTAAGTGCACGCCAGCGTGTACAGTGGGACATCGGGTGTTCATCCAATCAGAATAGACTAGACCACATACTTGCCAGACCAAGCAGAAGCATCGCTGGAAAATTTCGGCGCCTAACAGCCGCATTACGTCCTACTCTTATTTCGAATTCAAACTATCAAGAGTTCGTTTATGTGCACACCAATATGTACAGGGGACCACGGAATTCACCCCATCAGAACGTCTAGACCAGGGGTGTCAAACATGCGACAAGCGGGGTTTCTCCGGGTCCTCCGGTTTCCTCCCGCTGTTAAAGACCCCTACGCACAAGCGAATTATTGAAATAAAATTGAACCATGTGTTAGTCGCGAAATGACCTAGTTTGTGACGAGAGAACGTTAAACCCCCCTCCCCCTCTCCCTCTCTCACACACACACCCACACACCAGGATAGAACTCACTGGGTCACCTTTGCTCCCGGCAGAAAAATATTCTAAGTGTATTAGACTTACCATCCGCTATCTGGCTGGACACATAACAGTCAGAGGACCACGACAAGGGACAGCCCGGTAAAGGCATCATCGTTTCACCAGAATAACACACAGGGAAAAAACTAATACAATCACAGTTATCATGCTCTCCTGGAAATTTTGGATCTTAAAATTGAAATAATATAAGCATCAGCACAGCACTACAATAAATTTCATTATAGATTTTTTGAATTGGATCTACTATTAAATTATGTTTTAGCGCCCTGCTTTACACCAGATTGGAGAAACCCGAGTAACTTTCTGGGCCAACACCGACATTGAAGCAGGAAAAATCTGGTTAGTGATTCAGTGCCCTACCCACTGAATCACTTTGACTCCTGGAGCAAAAAGTAACTGAAATCAATTTATTCTTTTCAATCAGTCAACTGCATACTCCTCGCAGTGTTTCGTTTGATTAGAAATAGTCCCACCCAACAGCGCCGTAATGAACGCAAATTTCTGTTCCAAACTATGACTGGTCAATAGTCCGATTAACAACCAACACCTAACTGCGTAACAATATCATTCGGGTTTAAAAAGAGCTCCAAATATGTTACGTCATGACTCACGAAATTTATTACGCCCAATTAACCAGTGCATAGCAGAATATTGCAGAAAAAGTAATTGCGTGACAAACGAGGATATCAATGTGAACATTACTGTCACCGTTTTTAACACCTTAAATCACCGTCAAAAGTTTTAGGGAAGAACCCAGGTTAAACGAAGGGTTGTCATTGTTACTGTACTTAGAAGCGGTTTGATTGAACGGGAAGAATAGATACACTCCCTCAAAAGCTCAAGTATCAGTCGTCAATCCAGCAATGGCCAGAGAGGGACTTCTCGGCCCATTGCGTCAGGAATATGGTCTTTCCCTTGCATTACCCAGTATCGGCCACTTTCATCCCATTCCATTCCTTTGCATTACATAGTCACAGCCAAACCATTTCTTTGTATTACACAGTAATACACAACCCATTCCTTTGCATTACAGACCTGGGGGATCACGTGGCTAAGTGGGTAAGACGCTGGCTCGCTAGCCTTGAGGTCGGGTGTCCGATCCCTGCATTGGCCGAGAAAGTTCATCCAGATTTTACGGCGTGGTTTCCCCTTGTCAGTGATGCAGGGCATGACAAGGACAGCTGTCTAGTCCTTCGGATGAGACGAAAAACCGAGGTCCCGTGTATATATTGGAATGCACGTAAAAGATCCCCTGGCAGTTGGAATTCGATATAAGAGTAGGCGATAGTGCCGCTGCCCGGGCAAAATTTCCCTCATAGCACACTGTATGGCGTATGCCCGTCTTCATTAGCCCAGTATAGGAGCAGAACAGTAGGACGTTCAATCCCATTTCATTTCATTGAATTTTGCATTACAGACCCACGGTCAACCCATCCCTTGCATTACAGACTCACAGTTAACCCATTCCTTTGCATTACATAGTGACGATTAACCCATTCCTTTGCATTACAGAATCACAGTCATTACAAATCAATCATCCCCATCCCTTTCCATTGCATAAACGTAAACTTGTTTCCTTTCCATTACATTTCTAAAATAAATGAGTTCACTTACTGTCGCAAAGTCCACACGATTTTTGGCACAAACACGATGTCCCAGTTGTAGATGAATTAAAAAAACATTCACCGGCAGCTGCTAGATTCTGACATTCTGGATCCGGTAGCTCATCCACACACGATGTAAAACAAAGATCAACTACAAAATACAAACAGTAGTCGGAAGACCGGTGATTCAATATCGCGAAAACTACATCTGGAACAAGAACGTTTATAATAGAAATAAAATGAAATGGGGTTTAACGTCCAACATGCAAGACACTGTTCAACTGTAATATATAAGAGCACACGGTTTTTATTGGATACAATCACTAGTTTTATTCTAAAAGCACGCCGTTTCGACAAGTATCCTCATATCGTTATCAAGCACAATGACATTTAGTAAACATGAGGTAAATATATTAGAATAAAACTAGTGATTGTATCCCATAAAAAAACTGTGTTCTGTTAATGTGTTTACCGATCGCAAAATGCCACTCAAAGATTATGCAAAGAACAGCGTTATTTGAAACCACAGTTTGTAAACTACGAATAAAAATTACAGTGTTTACGAAAAAAGATCGCCTCGCAAATATTGTATTTATGAACAAATGTTACCTGGTAGCAGTAGTATTTATGATATAGGAACACCCTTACCCGAACCTTACAGTGGTTACGAATCACAACCTTTCCAGAACATTCAGAATGGCTTAGTTTGGGATATGAACCCAATAAACTGTCTTATTATTACTGTATCAATGAAATCCCAGAATCATTGCTATTCTGTCGAGACGGCCAGATGAACGTGTTATCCCGCAGTAGTACCCGCTGTCAGCTGTTCCCACTGGGATAAACGTCTCCAGGGTGGAAGCAAAGCTTTAGTTTTTACACCTGGTGGCAAGGAAATTACCTGGTGTGGGTTGTGAGCAACAATTGGTGGCAGAGGTGAGATGTTATAAAAAAACCTACATCTTTACAGATACCTCGCACAGTTTTACTGAAAGTTAGAGACAATGACCGAATCAGAGCTAGAAGAGTTCACCTACAGCCTTGAAGACACTACCAAACCGCTACACCATTTCGTGGCCAAAATAGAAATCGTACATTACGAGGTTGTTAAACAACCGTTGAACAATTAACGCTTAAATTGATTAAATTTGTTCAGATATACCATAAGAGTTATCCCCGAAAACTTCCTTCATATAACACTGTAACCCAGTTAGTATTTAATCTTGGGTACCTAGCACTCATTTCTTTCACATTCGTTTAATATCTAATCTTTGTTTAAAAATTCGTAAAAACTGTTTAAAATCACCATAAATCGTTTAATTTGTACTTCTGTCCAGTTTAAAGCTGATCATTCAATTCTGATAATGGGTGTCCAATTTAAAAGTGTTTAATTTCTCAATCTCTGTGAAAAAATAAACAACCCAATTGAGTAATGATGTATAATGATTAATTATGATTAATTTTTGAACAGTGGTCAGGGAAATAAATACTTGTAAATTGGACACTCATTATCAAAATTAATCAGTCAGCTTTAAACTGGACACAAGTACAAATTAGATAATTTTTGATGATTTTAAACGATTTTTACGAATTTTTAAACAAAGTTAAATGATACCTGGGTTACAGTGTAAAATCTATTGGACACAGCTCACAAAATATTCATACGCCGTCACGCATGAAGAGCGAAAGTAATTTTTAGTCGTTTCCCCCTTTCCCTTTTCCGCCTTTTGCATGGTGATTTTTGTTGACTGTTTGGTGTAGAATCGAAGAGAAGGGTTTGAAAATACATTTTCTGCCAGGTTTTGGAGAATATTCATCATGAGGCGGAAGGATATGAGAATCGAGAGATTGGTTAGGTTGAAATGCAGGGCGGAAAATTGCATGTTGTGATCTTTACTTCCAGTTTGTGTATCTCAAATTTTCCACGATGAACCTCATACGTGCTTTTGAGAAAGAGGTTGCCACATGTTGTTCTATCTGTGGTAGAAAGCGTTCTAGCCGACGAAAATTTGGGGAAAAAGTTAGAGTCGATCTAAGAGACGAGAATTAACATTAAAGTCAATGGGGAAATCGTTAATGATCTGTGGCCTAATGTCATTGTCGGCGATATTACTTCGGTGGAAGCGGACGTTAAATAAAGCTACTTCACCGCGAAACAACCAATCATAAATTATATCATAAAGACTACAAATTCAATATATGAAGCAAGAACGACCTCTCATTCTTACAGTTTTAACTCTGGTAGTTGTCGCGTAATGTCCGTAGTTTGTCTCTCAAGTTTTATAATGTCGCTAAATAAACGTTATTGTGGAAGCCGTCAGCTAATTTAAAAAATAAGAGTTTTTAAATTTTGTATTTGACAAATGTGGAGATTAAATAAATTTGTAGATGGCCGTAATTTAATATTTTTAAATCCGCACGAAACAACAGAGCATAGTGTTGTTTAATAAATTAAAGATGCATTATTCAAGAGCTAAATCTGCCTAATACAGATCTCTCTTTAGTCCTTAAATGTTATATAGATTTAATTAATGAGACATTTATTAACATGGGAAGGCAACGCCATCGAATTCTTTTATTTTCATCTGATTTAAACACGATTGGCAGCTAATGATTTAATTGAAAGTGGATAATCGAGACTTTATTTACCATCGTACTTACGGTAGCAATGATAACAGAGACTACACTGTTCTCCCACCGACGATAACTTCTCTATTTTAAGTGAAATTTTCAACAATGACATAATAATATTCCATATTCATTATCTATTTATAAACTATTATAGCGAGAACGGCCAACTCTTTATCTAAATCGTACATAGTCCATTTTTAACAATATTGCTACTTTACATCTTGTGATTTTGATGTCTACAGCGGTGCAAATTTATGTTATTTGAATTTGACCTTCTAATGGTAACATTTTAATCAATTTTCACTACTAGTCATACAAAAACACGGCATCATTTATTTCAGCAACAGTAAAGTACTTAATTCTTGAGAGTAAAGAGAACTCATTAATTTAAATTAATAGTCATTAAATCGCACCCTTGGTTACCACAAACGAATTCCCGAAGGAGAAGACATTAATTAAAGCGTAAGATAAAATGAAATTGGGATTAACGTTTTGCTTTACTGCACCACAGCTAAATTACCTAAAATTTATTAATGCGTAAGATTTAAATTAAATAGAAGGTTAACGTCCAACTTTTCTACACCACAACTAAATAACCTGAAATGAATTAATGCGTAATATTTAAATTAAATAGGGGGTTAACGCCCTACTTTTCTGCACAAAAGAGCTTATGAGGAGTTATAGCATATTGAAATTTAGCCCGGGTAGTGGCGATTTCATCTTCTCGTCATCGAATTCTTGGTTGGAACTTTTTTTATCGATGACACCGCTTTGGTGATACTTCTTGATTTGGCAACTAAAGAGAGTCTTGTCGTCAGAATGGGGCGAAAACGAAACTGCTCAGGTACTATTCTCCCTACTAGAAATGCGCAGGAGGCCATATAAAAATAACCGCATGTTACTCCAAAAATGACAGAATTAAAGGACAATATTGGTGTCAGTCATTTTCACATAATGTGATAGAACTGGTTAAACACGTTCCAAATATAATTTTAACACGGAGATCATTGCTACGAAAGATGCGTAATCAAAGTTTCTACAAAAGGAAGTAACGAACAAAAAAGAAAACACGAGTTATCCTTCTATATAACTGACTGAAGTGGTGAATTTCTGCTCACTAGCAATTCCTTCGAAGACCAAAATTTGTTATGTGAGACTGTGCGAGGATATCTGACAAGTCAAAAAGTGATTGAATGTCACTAGACAAATAGAAATAGCCCGTACATTCCCTTGTTTTTATTCATTCTATACTTAAAAAAAACACATGGTAATGCACGGACGTTTTCTATATATTTTTTTTTCTCTTTTCTAGTGACAGTCAATTTCTGTTTTGAATTGACAGATATTCTCTTACAGTCTCACATATCAACTTTTGATCTTCGAAGGAATTATTAGTGAGCAGAAAATTGCCCGTGTACGTGCTATCACTCGTCATTTCATTCAGTTATATAGAAGGAGAGCACGCGTTTTCCTTTTGCGTTCGTCACTTCCGTTTGTTGAAACCTTGATTGCGCAGCTATCGTAGAGATGATCGCTGTGTTAAAATTATACGTGGAACATGTTAATCCAGTTCTATCACATATGTGATAAGGACTGACACCAATATTGTCCTTTAATATGTAAGTTGCTGATTTGTTTATTATTATTGTAAACCATGTTTACCTGTGTTTAAAATGATGGCCGCATAAGTAACTATAGAAACCATCTCCATCTTTCACTTCAATTATCCAATTACATGTTTTCGTTATGAAGTTATTTAAGCTTGTGGTTTTTAAATAAATTTCAATTTCAATTATTCAACACCGTAAATTGTTGTTAGTTAATTATGAGTTCAAAATTAAGAGATTAGAGACTTCAGTGACACAAGAAACACACTGTGGTTCCACACCAAGTTATGAGTTACACAAGGAACAAAATGTAGAAACCATACCAAGTTATGAGTAACATAAGTTACACAATGTAGAAATCATACCAAGTTACGAGTTAAAAATTCAGAGTTTAGAACCTTCAGTGACACAAGAAAAAAAACCATAAAACCATACAAAGTCCTTGTCATTAAGTTTTCAATATTTAATTCCTGACAGAACAGCCGGAATGTGTTTAGTAGTAATCTTGTCGAAAGATAAAGTTATATATTTCTCGGATTTTCTATGATATGGAGTTGAATATCGATCTGTTATAAATGCATGCACAGACAAATAATTTAAATACGCATATAGTGTTTAAAGAGACAATATTTCAGTAAATAAGGCGTTGGCTCGTTAGTCAGGAGGTCTCAAGATCGTTCCCGGCGCTGGCCGTCAAAGTTCATCCAGTTTACCCTATTCAGTTTTGCAGAGCAAACGGCCTGACAACGACCGTGTCTAGTCGTTAATAATCCAAGAGGTTACAGTCCGATACGCGCAAGTATCGATAGCCACCCAGATCTTTGGGGTATAAGCATATATTTTAAGTTTAATCAAAATCAGATAAAAATTGTGACCACAAGCTAAAAACGCGATTTGTTTACAATCAGGGGCCATAATCCACGAAGGTACGTTCTGATACATGCCGATATCGACCCGAACCGGACTCTTTGGAATGAAAACCTATATTTCAGGTTTCGTCAAAATCGAATAAAGATTGTAAACTGTAGAGTGTCCATTATGGACGAACGGACGTCCGACGACAATATACATCCATATAAAAGTGTTTTCCTTTGTTCCGACATTAGATTTTTTCCCACATAGAGTGTAAAACATTACAAAGAGAGGTAAAATGGTAGTTAATGTCCACCCGACCTAAGCTAGATCATTTCGGGACTAATACATGGTGCAATGTTATTTTTAAACGATTCGTTTGCCCGTGTTGGATTTCGTAAATTTACTAATGCTTTTACTCTTCTTTTAACTCCCTTCCAGTAGTTCTTTGTCTGATTTATGGGGAATGGGAAAATTGTTTAGGTTCGTCGACTTGTGCTCTAGGGGATAGCTTGGCAATTGGGTAACCATAAACGCGTTTATTATTTTTGACAGAACAGAAGCGAATAAGCCATCTCGGCCTCTTTGCTTGATCGCGACAACGGGTTGGAAAATGAGACGTCACATAAGTACAGCAGGGTAATTTCTGAACAGAACAAACAAGACAGTGACTTGACATTTACTCAAATGATAATAATAAACGAACTTTCTTTGATATGCGTTTTTAAATTGATCTTTAACAATTTAGTTTGAAGCATTTTAATTTTACTTTTAATTGTGATTCAGAATTTGCAGCTAATTGTTGTTTGATTATCGATTTCCTTGATATTGTGTTATTTTGTTAACGATGCATTTGAAGATTTATATTCATTATGTAAGATTTAGATAAAATGCTGGCCGTTAATGCTATTATAGTTCAAAAATAGATGATGAACAATGAATATATCGGAATATTCAAATTACTTTGTTCTGAGAGCATGTTGAAGTTTTGACATTTAAATAGCCCATTGTCTAGTCCCAATGCCATGATTATCTACAAAATCTCAACTATCAGCCCTTTTATTGATTGCCGGCCATTTTAACGCTAACCGATTATATGGCATGGGTGGTCTAATACATTCAATATAACAGTCACCCGATGGCAAAGAGAGGTGTTTATGGGCTGTTCATGGACATAAATCGATAAATAATAACATAACAAAACATCCGAATTTGTACAGTGCAATAAATGCTCGTATTAGGAGTTCCAAATCTGCTTGCAAAGTTATACCCTTTGGTTCCATTTCATCCATAGTTTTCAGCCTGGTTTTGAAAATGCAGTCGGACTTTGATTCCTTTATATGAAGCTAAAGAGTATAATATTTGAAGCTAGATGAACTGGCCAGCAACAGGCCTATTTAGGTTTCTTTATTCAGGTTAATGAATAAAAACCCCACCTTTTTCTGCACCGATTGGGCTAATGAAGACGGCATATGAGGGAAGTTTTGCCCCGAAAGCGGCATTAAGACCTACTCTAGAATCAAATGCCAACTGTTAAGAGTTATTTTACGTGCAATCTAGTTTGTACACGGGTCCCTATCATCCCTCTGCCCTGCATCACTGACATGGGAAAAACAGCGCTTGAAAATCTCGAGAAACTTTCTCGTCCAACACCGGAAACGAGCGTGAGAACTCCGGATTAGCGAGCCAGTGTCTTACTTACTGAGCCACCACTGCTCCCAAATCTACAAAAGTTTCGGATAAACAGTTTACACAAAACCCACGAATGTACCATTTCAAATACAACACTTCATATTTTACTGTATGTCCATTTTTGACACTACGGTGTTTTTAAATAGATGAATTATGAATTAACTCTGACTTCTACGTTGTGCATATGGTCAGTGACATATAGGAAACTACAGCATCTATGGTAGTACGTTATGAGTTATGATACTGTCTCTATCCCGGCCTCGAACCAGAGGCTGAGAGTACGCTATAAGAACCCTGCATGATGTCGGTATCCCGGCCTCTAAGCCGTGGCGGGTAAAATGCCCTGTACATGTAGTACCGTTCTATGCTGTCTTTCCTAGGAACACTGAATGATGTCTGAAAATACCCCAAGAGTCCTAAAGGTGGCAAGAGCCACATACGTCTTGATAGTTCTACATGATGTCTTCGCCCTAGCTTCTAAGCCGAGTAGGCGTGGGTATGATGTTCCCATAGGAACTCTGAATGATGTCTGTTTCCCAGCCTCTCAGCCGAGTAGGCTGTGGGAACGTCCGTCTGAGAATAATAAATGATGTCTCTATGAACTCCAATAAAGGAACCTAAAACTCACTCGTTCTTATACAGAGGATACGTGCATGGGTCATGGACGGACCCCCGGGAAATTGGCCAGGTACTTCCTTTATCTGATTGGTCAGCTGCTCATGAGCTACCATGGACTCAAACACAATGTTCTAATATGAGCACCCAGGAGGAGAGACGGGTGACGGGTGTTCACTTTCCTAAAGCGTGGGCTACCATATTTGGATTACCAGACTATGTCATCTACAAAGTGCATCTCGTTAGCCTAGTTTTCGTTGTCACTCGTACTAGTTAACGACTTCAATACATTAAACAGAGAACTTGAATAACCTCTACAGTATATATAGTATTACACATTTGTCAATCTATGAACAAACGTTCTTCTGTTAAAATTTTAAGATCTGTTAAAACTACTGTTAATCATTTACGGTCCTGGGACCGACTTTCCCGTTGCTATGTGACACTTGCAGATGGAACTTACAGGATAAAATGGCGGTCCTCTAGATTTAACAGGGTACCAGTGGATAAAAGTGGGTTTAACTATACAAATTATAAAAAGCAAACATTTGAAGATACTACCCAAATAGCTTGTCAGAAAGTATCATTTCAAAATATTGAGCCTAACTATAGTGGGTGGGGGGGGTACACTTTAGGTCATAAGATATGTCATTCTGTCAGTTGGCGTGGTTTCGATTACACACTTATACATGACGAGGACTAGGGTGGCATGCCTAACCTTGAGGGTTTTGTATGATTGCAATAAAATGATACCATTTTTATGTTAGTGCAGAAATGACCTAGTTTGTGTTGAGTTTATGTGAACCCCCATTTGCTCCCTCTCTCTCCCTCTCTCTCTCTCTCTCTCTCAAATTTTTTTGGTAATTATTCAGTATACAATGTCATAGCAACGTCTTTAAGTTTGACATAGTCTCCTTGGCCAAGGTGACACACTTGACTTCCTGAAGTTCTGTTTTAGTCTTGTGTAAGGGTGAATTCTTCCATAATTTTATGTTTCATATTACATGTCTTCCTTAGCAATATACATCAGCTATTTATCTTGTCTTTGTTGGGTTGTGATTTAATCCAACTTTGTTTATTACATTTATATTTTAGGCCTTTTGAAATACGTTATTGCCTTCTCTGGGGATGTATACCTGTTGTCTTTGTTGGGTTGTAATCCCTTCTCGCGTGTGACTTAATCCATTCGTGCACCCATCTTTGTTTACTTTATACTTCATGTATGGCATAGGCCTATTGATATATTTTATTGACTTCCGGTTTCGGGGATAATCTCGAGGCTGCATGTTGTATTTCTGTATTAGTTAATATGGTTGATAACCCACACACACTGTAATGTTTACGCAATGCGTCAGTTATACGGATAGGTTTTATGGACTTCCGGTTCCGGTAACAAGTTATAGAAAAGAATGTTGAAATGCGTCGTGCGCTTTAGTTCATAATGTATGTCATTGCGTCAAGTGTTGTGAAACTGTGTAGGGCGGACAATTTCGAACAAAATAAAGATTTCCATCATATCACACTGCATGGCGTATGCCCGTCTCATTTCGATCAATTGATGCAGGAAACTCGGATGGTAAACAACGTTCTACTGTTTCATTTTATTTAATTCCCAAAAGGGAAGACGATGGTTGCCCTTCAGGTTTATTGAGACTTTAAAGATGTATTTCTTATAGGGTAGCTATTTCCAATAAAATTGTGGCATATTTGGTTAATATGGAAAGTAGAGACACTCAATCTGAATACCCTGATAAAACACCGACGAGGTCCCACAGGACCAAAATTTAAGGGTGTCACTAACAGGCAATCTGTCTGCTCGAGTGGCGTATTTTAAGAAGCGCTTGTTACGTGGTCATCAAAATGGCTAACGCTCGTGAGACCATTGAGAAAGACTTAAACGAGTAGACTCGGCGATCAGACGGATGAAAACGAAGTTGGCAGATGCTTTCACCATGGGGCAGTTTTCTTAAGATTAAAATGTTCTGAGAGAGATTTAAAGCAAACGCTTGACAGATAAATAAGTTTGAATATCTTTAAATCCAAATATCAAATAACATAGTTTGTTTGCAGGACGGCATCTTTAAGAACAAAACATATATAATAATGTGTGTCAGTGAAAACCAACGGGATGATAGTTTTGTATAAGATATAGTGGGTCAGAAACGGGAACCGTGTAAGAATCTGTAATTGTATAACACTAAAGTAAAGATTAGACAAAAGAGTCGCTTTGTTGCTTATTGGGTATGGAATACCAAACAGGTCT